GCCTTATATCAACTGTTGCTCATGATAGTTCACTGAAATAGCTACTAGCATCATCATACATACTTGAGTAAACCGTTCAGACAGATATGCTAATTTCCTAATTAAATCATCACACATTTCTTGAACATCAATATATTTCATGCACTTTGTCTAAAACTGAGGAAATAAACATGAACAACAGAGAACATATTGGGTCTGCGGGATCAGATCGGAAGACAAAAAAACCCAGTGCTCCCATCCCCCATGAGAGTACTGTGGGTGCCATATCCTGTAAAGGCACAGGTGGCTTCACAAGTCTTGGCCCTCTGGGGATATCTCAAAATGCCTCAAGGCTGATAAACAGGAGACTTTCACAGAACTGTGCATATGTTCCTGCATAGACATGATAAGAGACCACTCCTAACTCCTGACTGTCCTCCCCAACAGTGTTCTCACAGAAATATGTCAAAGGACCACTCCACCCCTGACTTTAACTCCCCTCCCAACAAAATGGATCAAATAACCCTCCTCCCCACTGCCTTGTGAATGACAGATAGCTACCAATCTTCCAGGATCCCTGTCTGTCTCTAAGGGCAGCTTTTCCTTCCTCTCTAACAAATCTTACTTGTGTGCTGACCTTGTCATCCCAAAATCAAGCAAATTGAGTCAATTTGCTTGCTGCCTCACAAGCCAAATTCTTTGGCTGGTGAAGGCAAGGATTCTCAACACCAGCCTGTAACAAACTCCCTCCCCCCACAGGAAGTAGAAATAGGCAGTGTACTGCTCTGAGGGTAAATTCAGGTCCCTCCCTCAAATAAGAAGCCAAATCTGAGCTGCAGCTGACAGTCAGCAGCCTCGCAAACTTGGAGAAGACATCTTTTCTCCATGCAGTTCCCTCTGGAGCAAACAACATGAAGACAAAAACTTGACCTTAAGGAGACAAGTAAGTGAAATTCAAAAATGAAGTATAAACAAATTGGTACAAATAGTCATAGGGAACATTCAGAGACACATGGAGATTATGAAATGCTAAAAATACAAATAGGAAATTAGTTACACCATTGCTCCAAAAATGCGTTACAAATCTGGGACAAGAGACAAGACATAGTGTAAATAGACAATAAACCATTTGGCAATTTGATTTTTATCAAATAAAAACAAACTCAGTCCCAGTCTTAGGTAGACATGCTATTTGAAAGGATTAGCACAATCACTAGAAAGGGAACAGGGAGAACAGTACAAGCGTCTCAAGCAACAGGCAGAAGGGATCTACTCTTTTATTAAGAAAAGTAACAAGGCTAGAAAGGGCTTACTAGGGGAGCATGGGATAGTTAAAGAATGTTTTTCCTGAGGCCAGCAGATTCTTAGGAGGGATCAAGGAGGAGCTGCATGCTGGTTTGGGTGCAAGTCAGACAGAGTTCTTGAGTCTTGAGGAAGGAGACACTTAACTATTGATTGACAGAGTTAATAAGAATTTTATGTCTAACAGACCAGTGGGGGAAAACAAGTCAATTCAGGTATTCTTCTAGGAGGCCAAGAATGGGAATTTTAAGGGCCCGTGTCTGGTCTGTCATAACTAAAAAAAGAGACATTGGTCTTATGGGAAAGACTGCTTCCTTGTTCAGTGTTTTATAGTTTTAATTCTGCTGATCCACAAACATGGGAGTTCTTTCCATCAACTGATTCATTTTACAAAGCTCTTTCTCAGAAAACATGTTTCTTTAAGAGTAGCTACTTTCTAGGAGTAAAGGACTCAGGTAAGTTTAATACTGTTAACATGACTCATATAACTAGGAAAGAGAGCTACTTACATGACCTGGAAGATTAACAGAAGGCTTCACAAATAAAGAGAAAATTTTCACCAGTTCAAGAGCATACAACCCAGGCAGAAATGATGGGGAAGGGCTCATGTAATGTAAGATGCAGTATAAAAACAAATTACCTTAAGATGGAGGGTGGATGGCTCCTAAGGGAAGAGAAGGGAGGTGTCTAAGGGACAGGTAGGAAAGGGAAAAAAGGATAGCTATGAAAGAAATTAAAAGGGTAAGTGTTACCAGATTGTGAGGGGTCTTGAATGCCAGGGTCAAGTAGTTTTGATTGTATCACAAATGATAGATCATAATGTTTGAAGTGTGTTCAAACATTTAAGATCAGAAAGAAAATGATTTAAATATTGTTTTCAAGATTTGATGTGAAAGATTTACCACAGGCAGAAGAAAAAATAAATTCAAAAGCTGCCAGTACAGAACAGTGCAATAGGCAAAACAAATCCCAATATTTAACAGGTATCTGACAGGTAGCCCAGTTTTAGGGTAAGAAGTAGAAAAACAGCCTTGTAAGAAATTAAAAGTATATATTTTACTCTTTCCTCACAAAAGGTGGATGGATCAACCCATTCAAATTTTCCTAGAAGAAAATTTGGGCAAATGCGTAATTCTGGGAATTTAGATTGACTTTCAAACTAAATAGGCTATTCTACATGATTAAACGAACATGTGCAAAGAACAACTCCAAATCCACAGAAATAATAATATCTAGAATAGGAGGCAGAGAATAATAGGCCGGTTAAAACTGAATATAAACTAGAAAAGGCCTGAGGATCTTAAAGAATCTTATAATTAGTAGCAGACTTACAACTCTTCAAAGATGTATTCTCTAAACTCAAGTCATAAGCTGTGTCAAGCTAGTTTCTACTCCAGACCCTGCTTCTTCCATTCTTAACACTTAAAACATTCTGAAATCATTTTGCTTATTCACTTGTTAATAAGTTCCTCTATTAGAATGTAAACTCTTGAAGCAAATCACGGTGTTTCACGTTTGTAATCCCATGTACTCTACAGGCAGAGATCAGAGGCTAGCAGTGACAAAAATCATTGAGCCCCTATCTCAACCAATAAACTGGATGTGGTGGCACGCACCTGTCATCCCCACTACCCACATGGCACAAATACAAGTCCCAATCCAGGAAAAAGACAAATCAAAAAGGATAAAGTGTTGTAGAAATGTTACAGACAGTATGACTGACCAGCAAGAATAAGATTCCAGCCCAGGTAGTTGGAGGAAAGGAAGGTTTATTATGCTAGTGGGCCAGCACCTGGATATCTCCAAAATGGCGCAGGCCCCGAGCTTGGGTGGTTGAGGTTTTTATACTAAGAAAAGCAGCAGCAAGCAAGCAGGGAGTGCCAACGCAGACTTGGCAGTTAGCTGTTCAAGGTTACAGTATATCATGTCAGCACAGCTGTGGACGAAGGCCATCCATAGTTTCTAAGGAGATAGCTGGATGCAGGGGCCCCAGCTAAGGGGAAGGGCTTTACTCATCTTTGGCTCTTTTTCCAGCTTTGATCTTTCTCTGGGTGTTCCTTCCTCTTTTACATCATAATCCCTTATGACTGTTTCTGGGAAGTTATTTAAGGACAGTCTTTGGTACTCTCTCACTAACTGTAATTTAACAGCGTTTATCCAGTTGCAAATGAACCTGGTGAGGAGATTTATCATACAAGGCCCTAGGAGCAGTGGTAAGAGTAATACAGTGAGTGGGCCCGCCAGGAGGTATACCCACAGAGTCCAGTTTTTATCCTGTAAAAGACTTTGTCTAGAATCTCTTGCAGGAGTGGAGGAGTTTTCTTTCCTCTTCTGGCAAGTATGTATCACCCAGGTTACTTTGGGAAAGTTGGCATGAGGCATTACCATTTGAAATGGGAACTCAGGATAGAAACAACCAAAAACAGTATCACATTCTGTTAGTAGGAAAGAAAGATTGTCAGAAAGAGCCTCTTGATTTAGGCTGTGTCCTGCTGGGGCAGTTACTGTCCAAAACAAGGTTATAATACCAAAAGAGAGATAGGCAAGGGATGGCAGAATTTAAACATCACCATAGAACATTGTCTGTGACAAACAACAGTCCATTAACTGTCTGTCCAGTTGACTCCTCAAGCTTCTGCCATGTGTAGACTAGTCAGCTTCCGGTTTGTGACTAGGGCAAGGCTAAGGTCCCCTCCTCAGGGTCAGTTTGAGCGTATGCTGGAGTCCTGGTTTTGGGAGGAGTCCCTGTTTGGGGTTATTTTTGGCACATGTTTTATACATTGTTTATAAATATTGTTGGCTAGGCTGGTGAAGTGCCTGGTTACCAAGACCAGGGCGGCTTAAGAAGACCTCATTAATCACCTTAACACAGCCATGGTCTGGAGGCCCCACAGCCGACAGGAGGAGGGTTGCTGGGTTTAAAGTCTAGGCAACTTTTAGCTTTGCTTGTGGATTTTTATAGAGCATACCTGGTATCTGACTATCTGGTATCTGACAGTATTGTCAGCCAATACTGTCCCTTGTATTTTATTAGAGTCATTACAGAATGTGGGACCCTTAGCAGTTATTTTTCCCCCCAGTGTTAACTTTTTGTCTCTGATACGAAGAAGGCTGTGCCTGTGAGAGCTTGCAAGCAGGAAGGTCATCCCTTTGCCATTGAATCCAACTGTTTGGAGAGATAAGCCATTGGCTGATGTCATGAGCCTAGGAATTGGGTCAAACTCCAATTGTTACGTTGTTTCTCTCATGTACATGGAGGAAGAAAGGTTTTTTTCCACCTGGGAGTCCCAGAGCAGGAGCACTAACTAATGTCTCCTTGATGGCACGAAAAGCCTGTTGTTGTTTAGATTTCCAGATTAGGAGCTTCCTTTTGTATCCCACCTTTGTGGCTTTATATAAAGGCTTTGTTAGCAGTGAGAAATTACATATCCAAATTTGGCAGAACCCAGCCATTTTTAAGAACTCACAGATTTGTCTTTTTGAAGTTGGAATGGAGATTGAACAAACAGCTTGTTGTGTGTGTGTGTGTGTGTGTGTGTGTGTGTATCAAGGTTGACTTGGTCTTGACAGATCTGAACCTTTTTTAAGATATTTTGTATCCAGCTTTTATAAAAAACAGAGTGGGATCTCTGTCTCTTTAAGAAAGTCTTGGTGGTTAGTCGCTGCAAGGAAGAGGTAAGAGTGTGTAGTCAGCTTTCTTTTTGCTGGGTATGCTCGTAAATCTGATGTCAGAGCAGTTCCAAAGATGGTTGGGGAGTTCTTGAAACCCTGTGAGAGATGGTTCCAGGTTAACTGTTCTTATCTCCCTGACTGGGGGGGGGGTCTTCCCATTGGAGAGCAAAGATGGGTTGGCTCACAGGTGCCAACAGGACGCAGAAGACGGCATCTTTTGAGTCTCGGCGTGAGAAGCAGGTTGTCTCTACTGGTATCAGGGCCAGCAAGGTGTATGGGTTAGGATCCACAGGGTGCAGAGCCACTGTTGTTTGATTGACTGCCCGGAAATCCTGCACTGGGCAATAATCATCTTGTCTGCTTCTGAACTGGCAGTAAGGAAGTGTGCCAGGCAGATTGACAGGGTCTCAGGATTCCATATTTTAAGGTCTCTGGAGATGATGAGATATCTTTGATCACCTGACAGACAAAAGCAGGCCCCATGTCTGACCCGATGCTGCTAGGTACCCTAAATTATTGAATAATTTTTTTTTGCTAGTGCCCTTGATATCTCTGCAGCCTTTTCTGTGTGGGTGGGGTATGCTTCCATTCAGCCTATAAAAGTGCAGACCACCACCAGAAGGTACTGATAAGTTTTGCTTGGTTGGATTTTAGTGAAGTCTATTTCCAGGTGTTGGAATTGGTAGACTCCTTTTTTTCTGGATGAGTAGTGGAGGCTTGGGCCCCTGTCCTGGGTTGTGTTGGCACAGTTCAGGCAAGCCTTGCTGGCCAACTGAGTTAGAGTTGCCAATCGAGGAATGACGAGATGTTTTTTAACAGTCCTTGTAGGGAGGTTTTGCCCAAATGAGTGATGTCATGTGCCAGCCTTACCAGGCCTGTGGCTGCTTTTTCTGATATCAGGATCCTTCCTTCTAGGGTGATGAACCAGCCTTTTGAGTTTTCTTTAGCCCCTGTTTTATGGGCCTGTTCTCTTTCTTGTGGGCTCTGGCTTCCATCAGTGAAGAGCTCCAGGTCAGCATTGGGAATAGCAGTGTCCACTAAATTGGGCCGAGAAGAGAAGACTTCGTCTAAACCTCTTCACAAGAATGGAGGGGTTCCCCCTCCTCTTCTGGTAAATATGTGGCTGAATTGAGAGTCCTCATCGCTTTGACTTTTATCTGGGGGTTTTCACCAATAAAGCCTGATATCTGGCCACTCGTTCCCCAGTCATCCACCAACTGGCAGTGCTGTTGAGCAGAGAAGTTACTTGGTGGGGACCCGGAGTGTGATGTTTTGTCCCAGACTCAGTTTATCTGCTTCTTGCATTAAGAGGACTATTACTGCCAGTGCCTGGAGGCGTGGGGTGAACCTGAGGCCGCATGGTCTAACTTCTTGGACAAGTAGGCTACCGGTCGGTTCCATGGCCCCAGTGGTTGGGTCAGGACACCTAATCCTATGCCACCCTTTTTTAAGACTGACCTCTAAGGTTAACACCGGCAAGGCGTTGTCCCAAGTCCATAGCTACTGTGTGCCCAGTTTAGAAAGTAAGTCTCTTCCCAGAAGGGGGTCTGGAGCCTCTGGTACATACAGAAATCAGTGTCTGACCTGGTGTCCACCAACTGTGCATTCTCGGGGCTTGCAGAACCGGTACTTCCTGGTGTTCCCAGCGGCCCCTATAATGGTAATTAAGTCCTTAGTGAGTCAGCCAATTGGAATGGCCATGGTGGAAATGGCCACCCCAGTGTCCAGAATGAAGTCTACTTGGCAGCCCTCTATATCAATCTCGAATCTGGACTCCTGAGGGCCAATCAGAAAGGAACTTGGTCTCCCTGAGTCAGACTCATTTCCCAGGCTGCGTTTGTCTCTAGTTGCAGGTTTCCTTGGATTTGGCGGCAGCCACTGTCACCTTTTCTTTTTTTCTCTTGTTAGGGTACTCATCTTTTTAATGTCTTTTTTTCTTATAGTATATGCATTGGTTTTTCACAAGAGGATTTTTCCATCCTTTCTTTTTGGGCCCCCCTCCAGCCTTCAGTCCCTTTGCCTCCCTCCTTGAAGGCCATGGCCAGGATATTTGCCTTTTTCTCCAAATACATATATTTTTTCTCTTTTTTTAGCCATTTCTTTTTGGTTTACCACCACCTTGACTGCTATGCTGAGTTGGTCAATGTTGGCACCTGCAAAGCCCTCCATCTTTGCAGCTTTAGATGAACATCAGGGGCAGACTGCTGGATGAAGGTGGTGTTCATCATGGATCGGTTTGCAGGGGTCTTGGGGTCGAATGGGGTGTACTGACGGTAGGCATCATATAACCGGTCATAGAACTGGCTAGGCAGCTCATCAGGCTTCTGTGTGACTTCACTGACCCTGGCAAGGTTGGTATCCCCTCTTGCCCCTTGGTGGGCTCCCTCCAGGATAGCTTGTCTCATGCGTTGGATGGACTGGAGCCCATCTGGAGTGTTGGGGTCCCATTCTGGTCTGGTGTCTGGGATTCTCTCATCTGCCCATTGCTCTGGATGTGCAGTCTGCGGTGGTGCTTGTGTGACTAGTCAAGCTCTGGCTGCCTGGTATACTGGTCTGTGCTCATCAGAAGTGAAGAAGGTAGACATGAGTGGACGACAATCATCCCAGTTGGGCTGGTGGCTGTGCATGATATTGACTAGGAGCTCTATCACAGCTTGTGGCTCCTCTCAGTATGCTGGGGTGGGCTGCCGCCAGTTCAGGAGGTTAGTGGTGGTGAATGGCTGATACACATATTGCATGGGTCCAGCCGTGTATGACCCATCTGCCTAGAGTAGTGGTGGCCCGGGAGCCTGACGGAGGGGGCATGGGACTCCTGCTGGGGCCTCTTCTTTCTTACTCATCAGCCTCCCAGAGTTTGGTGACCTTCCCCAGTGGCTCTCTTCCTTTGTGGCCGTTGGAGGCAAGGGGGGAATATAATGAGGAAGCCTCTGGGTGGCATGGTTGGGAGCCCAGTGTTTCTTCCTTTCCACTGGGGTTCCCTGCACTGAACTCAAATCTTGGGGAGGCCAGAGCAGCTGAGTGCACTGAAAGGACATATGGTGGCAGATCTGATGACTCAGGTTCTGAGTTGTGGACCTCAAATTTCTTTTGCTTTGCTATTAACCAAAACGGCTGCATGCCTCTGGGGGGCATGAAAATGGAGCCATTCAAGCGAGTGGGCAGCCAGGATGTACCAGGTGTTGATGTAAGGAAACTGGTCTGGATGGCCTGAGTCCCATTCAACTTTGTCTCTGATGTGGGTGATAATAGTCAGGTCTAGAGTGCCCTCTGCTGGCCATCCTGCGTCATAGGTGGGCCATTTCCAATTCACAGAATCTCTGAAGCTTAGCTGGTTTCATTTTAACCCCATAGTCACCAGGAAAGCCTTCACTAAAGTTAGCAAGTATAGTCTAGAGCACCTTCTGGGTGCTTTGGCCCAGAGAAGTCCATTTTATATGTGCCTGACAGTGGCCGGTGTCGCAAGACAGACCAGGGAGGGGTGCCCCTCAGTGAGGGGCCACACAGATGCGCCTGTCTGCAACTCCAGACAATGGATCCCTGTGACTTAGCCAGAGTGGGTTCAGCACAACAGAGTGACTTATGCACAGATTCAATGTAAAGCTGTGAATATTGATTCTGAATACCAATGATATCTTGTTTTATTTGCTTTTTTTCCTTTTCTACCTTTGTGGCATTGATTGAGATTTATTTCATTTTATTATTCCATCAGTTATGTTGTAATCACCCCATTTTATATGTGTCATGATATACTCCACAGTCCAATAAATTAAAAAATAAGTTTCCATTAACTTTGTATGTATTAACTCTGACCTTTGCCATCAAACACACACACACACACACACACACACACACACACACAAACAACTTTTTTTTTTTTTGGGTAAAAAAAGATTTATTATATATTTTATATCAACCAGAGAATTTAACATAATCATGATAAAATTTTTACAACCTTGAATAACTAACTAAATGCACTTTGCTTTTTGTTATCATAATTTTCTTTTTTTTTTTCTTCATTTTTCTTTTATTATTCATATGTGCATACAAGGATTGGTTCATTTCTCCCCACTGCCCCCACCCCCTCCCTTACCACCCACTCCACCCCCTCCCTCTCCCCCCCAATAACCCAGCAGAAACTATTTTGCCCTTATTTCTAATTTTGTTGTAGAGAGAGTATAAGCAATAATAGGAAGGAACAAGAGTTTTTGCTGGTTGAGATAAGGATAGCTATACAGGGCATTGACTCACATTGATTTCCTGTGCGTGGGTGTTACCTTCTAGGTTAATTCTTTTTAATCTCACCTTTTCTCTAGTACCTGTTCCCCTTTTCCTATTGGCCTCAGTTGCTTTAAGGTATCTGCTTTAGTTTCTCTGCGTTAAGGGCAACAAATGCTAGCTAGTTTTTTAGGTGTCTTACCTATACACACAAACAACTTTTGTCCATACAACATCATCTCCTATGCTGAACCAGCTGGAATTTGAATTAAAACTATTTTTTAATTTTAACATGATATAACAATTATTTACCCTTCCTGTTGTTTCTTGTTCCTTTACAAATCTAATGTCTACGCAATCTTAGCTTCCAAATCATATTCTTTAAAAGTATTTAAAATAGTGTTGTAATATGATGTAGTATTGAGACCTCCACTACTCTTCAATCTTATCTGTAAATCACATAGTTTCTTCCTATATTTACCTATCATATTTTGTGGTCTTTATTCTAAGACTTGTTTTTTATGCTGAACATTTGATTATGTTTTCAATATGAAGAATCAGGTCATTTTGCAGCTGTAGGAAAGGTTCTTAAACTACTCTTTCAAGATCATTCCTCTCCCATGTTCTTTCTGAACTCTTATTTTCAAAATCACACTGCAATCAGTCAGAGTTGGCAGCATTTCTGGATTTATGCTCTATGCTTTTGTATAATTAATCTTTTCCATTTTTTTAAAAAAGTAACATTTTTAGCTATGCTTTATTTATTTATTAACATGTTTATTTATTGGCAGTACTGGGGATTGATGTCAGGGCCTTTGCTAAGCGAGGGCTATGGCACATGCCCCCAGACCCTGAGCATTCCTATTTCTTATCCTTTGAGGCCAAATTGTGGAGCACCACTGTCAAAATTTTTAGTACAGGTTTTAATGCTTCAAATAGTTGTGCAAATATTCACAAATATAAAGAATAATTCAATTGGAAATCAGGGTGCAAATTGTCATAAAGGAGAAATTTCATGTCTTCACTATTCAGAATGGCAAATTGACTTATATACAGCCACATTTTCTCTACTGAAAGTCTCTGCTTAGTATAAAACATTTCCAAAATGTACATGATCACTTGAACTCATTTGTCAAATCAAATTTGTGGTGAATACAAAATGACGAAGTGGTGGACAATATCTTCTAGACATTCCTTATCTAAATGTCTATAAGTCGTGGTAGAAATCTACATTTCTAAAAGTATGCCCATGTGATAATTATCCAAAATAAACATTGACAACAAATTCTTTGAAATACTGTCACATATTTTTAACTCTATATTAGCTTCAAACCAAATCTGTTTTATAACAAATAGACTGGTTAAATCAAACAGAGAAGTGAAAACAATACAATCCCAAATACCACCACTAATTGCCTGCAATTTTTGCCTTTCCTTGAATGAATCGGTCATGTTCTGAATCCATCTCCATAACAGACCAAAGATCTTTGGTAAAGTAGGTGACCCTTGCCTAGCATGTGGAAGGCAATGAATTTGGTCCTCACAACCACAAAAGCAAATAAGCAAACAACAACCCAGGCCAGCTGGGTCATAGAGTGCTGATTTAGGAGGAACAAACATGGTCTAAATCACTGTCTTAATTTATTATGGGTTATATCTCAAATGTCCCCCAAAGGTCACATGTTGAAGGCTTAACCAAAAATTGTTGTTTCTATGGGAGATGCTGGAAGACTTAGGAGGTAAGGCCAATTTGGACAGAGTGAGAGATTGGGACACACTGTTGAAGGCTATAATTTTTTATAGTTGTGCTGGGTGGAGGTACATTGTAGCATTTACAAAGTTTCTTACAGTGTTTCAAATACATGGAATTAGAATTCATCCCCCCATTCCTTTCCT